TGACAGTGTGAAATTGAATATTAGAACTTACAATTCTGTATATTTATAGACTACGGGTGTAGTTGAGAGTATATCGTTTTAGCCAATCAAATAATAATCTGGTAAATCATTCCGAATTTTATGCAGTATATGTGAACAATATCGTTTAGCTAACCAACCAACCGAATCTATCAGCAATAATCTGTCATTTCAACATAATACTGACATTTACTCAAGTCATATGTACTCTCAATAGGACAAATTGTTCATCATTGATGATATGTAATATTGAGAGTAATGGACATACAGTAGTACACTTACATGGTTGAGAATTTCGATTATTCATAAGTTTGATTGATTACTGTATGCATTTTAACTGTGCCAGAAAATTCGTCTTGAAATTCGATTATTCACAATCCCAAATAATTTTTAAAAAATCATATTATGATGATTTCTTTCTGCATGTCAATCTATGGAGTTTTGTTCTGTGAGCTGGATGGTTGGTCGTGGAGTTTTCATCGTTCTTCTGAACGACATCATCATCAGCACAAACTGCATGAAGTCAGAGAACAAAACTTCACCAAAATCATCCACCTAAGATACAAATCTCCACTATCTCATAAAATAAATATTTACGCCCCCAGAAGCACTGGTATGGCCGGGAGTGGGGAGAGTCCTGTCTGCTACTCTAAATACTCTCACATGGCCACGCGTATACAGCCACTGGTAGGGAAGTTCTACTCATTTCCTTATCGAGACGGAGCTTCTGTGAGTGATAAGATCATTTCACGTATAATGAAAACCAGAGTGGTTTATGAAAATCTAAGTCATCTTTGCCGCCTTTGTAATATTAGTCTGGTTGTAAAAGATGAGATCTTCAACCCGTTGATGAGAGCAGTTTTGCCTTTATGCTTGTGAAACCTGGCGTCTCCGAGTTGAAGCTGTTAGAGGATTCTCTTTCTTTGTGATTATCGTTTTCTCTGAAGGACTGATGACATCCAGTTCCAACACCATGTTAGTAATGCAGAAGTTCTAGGATCATAGAGATGGTACAACACAGTGTCTTGTGACACTATTAAATATGTGTCAGAATAGAAGCCAGTGGTGATCTTGTTGTAACTTTCTCTTACTTTCTTTAGCCGGAGGAATTCTTTCTGATTGTACCTTTATTAACTGAACTGATTCTTCCAATATTATGATAATATTATGGTAATATGATTAACTTAAGCAAAATGTATTAGATTTGCTTTCAGTTTAAAAATTAAATTAAAGTCATAATTGATATGACTGCACTATAAAGTGTATGCAATGTAATAGCATAAATGATTAGATATGGAAAACAGGGTAAACAATTTACTCTAATGATAATAATTATTATTTGTTTAATATTTAATTTAGTTGCTTCAATACTATTCTTATTTATTTATTGATTTGAACACATAGATATTAGTACAAGGAGGCACCAAATATATATGCGTCACACAAATCTCATTTGATTTATGTGAGGGATATGATACTGTTCAGGTGCCCAAACCGAAGCAGGCGGTTTTCTTAGGGGGGCCACACCCGGAGCCTTCGACCTAAAGGTCTGATTCACAAGGCGGTGGAGCATCGTAAGGAGATGCACTCCCATGGTAGCCGGTGATCAACGATTGGTTCAATACTATTCAGTAAACGATCATACACGTACACTTGAACTAATGACCAGAATACCTTTTGATTATGTTACATATACTCATCAACATAAATCATTTTGTTTCCAGTATAGGAAGATGAATGTAATGTATGTGTATCATTTCGAGATGTGCTGTCATGATAAATAATACACAATGAACTGAAGAAATATCAGTATTTAAATCAATTAATCCCTTTTTATAAATTTCGATAGAACAATGAGATCAATCCGTGTCGCGCAATGTCGTGGATTAGTTGATGTTAAACACTAACACCATTGGATGCCGGCTCAGTGGTCTAGTTGGTTAAGCGCCTGGCGCGAGACCGATAGGTCCTGGGTTCGGATCTCGCAGGGAGCGGGATCGTGGGTGCGCACTGCTGAGGAGTCCCATACTAGGACGAAACGGCCGTCCAGTGTTTCCAGGTTTCCAACGGTGGTCTAACATCAATTGATTCATGATCTCAATCTAAAACTTAACAATCTCCACAACCCCTATACTGATAATGAGATCAACTCGGTCTTCTCATTGTTCTATTGAAATATCAGTATATTTAATGACAAAGTCAATGTAATTTAATTGCGACAAAATTATTTATTTATATGTAAAAGATTTTCAGATCAAGAGCTATTCCAAATCTAATTTGCTCATTGTAATCCAATGGAAATATGTCGATAGAGAAACACCTGGATATGAATTCAAATGAAACCTGTTAAAGATTAATGAAATAGGCAGTAATGTATAAAGTTATTCTCAATTTATATAAACATTAATTTCACTACTTACTTATACCTCTTACTCCCAATGGAGCATAGGCCGCCGACCAGCATAGCCCACTCTGTTCTGGGCCTTCTTTTCTAATTCCATCCGATTCTAGTTCATTCTTCTCATGTTTATCTCCGTTTCCCGACGTAATGTGTTATTTGATCTTCCTCTTTTCCTTTGGCCTTGAGCATTCTATGTGAGGGCTTGTCTTGTGACGCAGTTGGGTGCTTTCCTCAATGTGTGTCCTATCCACTTTCACCACTTCTTCCTGATTTCTTCCTCTACTGGAATCTGGTTTTTTCTCTCCCACAGTAGGTTGTTGCTAATAGTGTCTTGCCAATTGATCCGAAGTATTTTGCGTAGACACCTGTTAATAAACACTTGTATCTTCTGGATGATGGCTTTCGTAGTTCTTCAGGTTTCCGCACAGTACAGTAGAACTGTCTTAACATTTGTATTGAAGATCCTGACCTTGGTGTTGGTTGCCAATTGTTTTGAGTTCCAGATGTTCTTCAGTTGTAAATATACTGCTCTTGCTTTGCCGATCCGCGCCTTCACATCTGCATCAGATCTACCCTGTTCATGAATGATGCTGCTCAAATATGTAAAGGTTTTTACATCTTCGGAATCTTCTCCGTCAATTGTGATTGGATTGTTGTATGCTGTGTTGTATCGGAGAATCCTGTTTTTCCCTTTGTGTATATTGAGACCTACTGCTGCTGAGGCTGCTGCTACCCTGGTCGTCTTCTCCTACATTTGTTGTTGCGTTTCTCTTCAGAGTAAAGAAAAGTTAACATTCGTGTAGTTCATTGTGATTCTATACTGTTCAATTCTTCCTAGTTTTTTTTAGTGGTGATCTAGCTTCAATTGACTGATGATCTCAACCATTCGAATTACTAATAACATTCACAAAACACCCCTTCTGATGAATAATTTATTTTATTTTAACATATTTGTACATTGAATATGAACATTGTGACATTCTTTTATATCCCGATAAGAATAATGAATGGTAACTTTTAGGATCCATTTATGGATCAATACTATGAGTATATTTTGTATTGTATAATTGTTAAGTAACTAAACTATTCATATTCATATCCCTGTTATTATAAGCTTTGGTTTGATCTATGAACTATTATTATACGATTTACCATTCTTGAGTTATGACCTGTTTATCAACTACTATCTCTCTGATTCACAGCCACATTTGACTAAATCTTGCACAAATGTTGTTTCCTATTTTATGGTATGATGTGGTCTGTTTGGTTGCTATATAAATCCAGTATGTTTGAAATATACGATTCAAACCGTGGAGTCTGAGATTTGTGTTCTGGACTGTAACATGTAGGGCTAGACGGTAATCAAGACCGTCATTGATCCGATCGATAATTCACTGTTTTCTAATTGGCGATATCATTACGTTATACAGTAAAAAGGCATACAGGCCACAAGTTATAACACATTCTTCTTAAACAAAAAGCATTCTGTCGATGTAGTCAATCAATCTATTTCTTTAATTTGAATAATAATCTATGGTTTATTAATCTAGATGTGTTATCACATAACCACCCACTGAGTTAACTAACACCTTTGTTCAATTTATAAATTTTTCAAATCTTTATTTAACATCTATTATACATTTTGTTATGTGTTTGGTTTTGTTTTCCGAAAATTCTCGTCGCCAATTATTATGTCCTTAGTTTAAACGATTATGGTGAATACGATTTGATAAATTTAGATATGAGGACTCATACGACCAACAAATGATGCATACACCTAAAGGAACAAGACTGGAATCTTAATTAACTCTTTCAATTTGCCTGTTAAGTCCAGAGTACCAATTTCAGCTTCCACGATATGAATTATATCTTTCAAACATACGTGGTTTATATTCAAGGTAAACAGACTACATCACACCATAAAATAGAAAATAACTATTATATTATGATCAAGCCAAAAAGTGGTTGTGATTGCGAGAGATTACTTACTTACGCCTGTTACTCCTCGTGAAGGAGCATAGGCCGCTCACTAGCATTCTCCATCCAACCCTGTCCTGGGCAATCCTTTCCAGCTCCTTCCAGTTCTTATTCATCTTTTTCATATCTGATTCTATTTCCCGACCTATTGTGTTCTTTGGTCTTCCTCTTTCCCGCTTCCCTTCAAGATTCTACGTTAGGGCTTGCCTCGTGATGCAGTTTGATGATTTGCGTAATGTATGTCCTATCCATTTCCATCGTCTTTTCCTAATTTCTTCTTCAGTAATTGTGAGAGATTGTAATTAATAAACTCGATATAGTTTAAACATAGTAAATCGTATAATAATGATATTCTATAGGTCAAATGTAAGCTTATCATAAAAGGAATATGAATATACACATAGTATAGTTACTTAATAGATATACAATAACAATATACGTATTATATTAGTCTATAAATAGATCCCAATAGTTACCATTCATTATTTTCGATGGAATATAACACTTTATATAGAATAGATATTACTTATTTCAATTCAGTAGATAAAATGTTATTCATTTAAATAAACATTACACTTCAAATTCTTTATTATTTCTTTATCAGATGTATAATATGTATGTGTGAATATGAAGAAGGTGAAGAACTTCGTTATCTTCCGTGTTTACATACATATCATCGTGTATGTATTGATGATTGGTTAATGCGTGCATTAACATGTCCTTCATGTTTAGAAGAGATACGTCCTAATTCACCAGTAAAAATTCGTTCTAATATTAATAGTCAAAATACTATTCATAACAATCATAATAATAATAATGAATCATCAGAGAATAATAATAATAATGTTGTTTCACAAAGGAATGATAATTCTGTGCCTATTTCATGTCATCCACAACATAATAGTCAATCAATACATGAATATAATAGAAGAACTAGTATTACTGAACGACGTTCTAGAAATGTACAATCATCAAATGTATATACAAATTCAGAAACTGTTCAACGTATAATTCTGGAACGGTTAAAACCTCAAAATAATAATAATGATACTACTGTTGTTGGTGACGTATCCGATCGTAATTATAATATTTCTCATATGATTAGACATCGTCAACATCATCATCATCAACTTCAACAACATCGACGTACACGATCCATTGGTCCTAGTAGAAGATCATATTCTATGAATGCATTCAATGTAACATTGCCTTATGGTTATCGTCGTGGTAACAGTGTTACAGCAATTGATATGCTTAATTCTGTTATACAAACAACTGATGATAATACATATTCAATAAATAATAATTATATTTAACCATGAATTTTCCAGGTTTAAAGAATGAATAAAATACGTCATTATTATTATTATCCTCAATTATCGAAACAATATGAATGGATCAATATTCTAAATAAATCTAAGGTAAGTGTTTATTTCTATCGATACTGTTAAGCTAATTTTCAAAGTGTATAGCATATAGAGTTGGTGACTAGCGGAAGAACGATAGATGTACTTGCATTCCAGAGTTAACATTCACTTTAGAACTTCAACACAGTACACCTCACTTCAAACACGATCATATTATCCACTTAGCTACTGAGTCCAGATAGCTACAGGCTTGTGCAATGGTGTGAATTCTCATATATATATGTATTGGTTGTTTGGATTTTTTCATTAATGTTTAAGACTGTGATTGATCAGTCAGTCTCTCCTCACATATGTGCACCCCATGAGAATTGACTTGATATTGTCACTAAGCCACAAGTATCCTTAAGCAAAGAGGATTGGAAACAACAAATACAAATGAATTAGACTAAATTCCATTTCACGAGCTAGTCGGCTATCAGAACTCAATAGATAAGTGGATAATGCGATGATGTTTGAGGCGAACAGTACTAGATTCGAGTCTTGGAGTGGAAATCAACTTGGGATTCATATAAATCTGGTGTATGAGTTTCGAATAGGGTGAAATAAGCGTCCAGGATTCCACTTCCGACCATTGTTGCTACCTTGACGTGGTGGTCGGGCTTGCCTATCATGATGAAGCAACCGAGCTATACTGGCTGGAACAACCGTTCCTCAAAGTCCTATCATATCAGACAGGTCGGTTGAAGAGCGGTAAGACTAAAAGTAACAAACCTAAGGTCCGAAGGCGAAGTCGTACTGCTGACTGTACAGAGGTGTGACAGCAGTAAGGTGTTTCCTTCAGACAACCAGCATGACAGCGATGCTGCCTTCCCACAAGGAGGGGTGGGGTTAGAAAAGGTCGACCCTAAAAATGTCACACCTCACCTTACCTCACGGATTTCCGTCTCCGGCGGTAAGGCCCTTTGAAGAACGGAGCTAACACGTCAAAAACCTTCCACAAAAAGGCCGTGCGCGACCGGCGTCAAGCAGTTTTCCTTCGGGCTCTACGGTCACGCTCCCAGGTCGTTAAGACCAACACTAATCCAATTTCCTTTTCAGGTTCCTCAAGAAATACCCTTCCACGGTGTGGGCAGCCGGGAAGTGACATCAGCCCTCATACCCGTAACAGCACGAGACCAAGTTGGTCACATTCAAATCCTTCCTACACCTCCTAATACCTCTCTTATCTCCATGACTAACCCTCCTCACGTCTCTTTATCACCTCGCACCGCTAGGGCAAACGATTCGAGTACGTGGAACGCTATTCCTGGTCTCCTGAAACCACGCTCTAAACTACACGTAGGAGCTTTTAACGTACGAACACTGTACCAAATAGGACAGCAGGCTTCCTTAGCTAGGATTTTAGAATCTCGCGCCATCGATGTGTGCTGCGTCTCCGAAACGCGCGTACAGAATCCAAGTAGCGTCATTCATTTGACCTCACCATGCCAAAATAAAGAACCGACTCGATTTACGCTTCGTGTATCTGGAAGCCCTGATTCTGCTTCCCGTGGCCTCGCCGGCGTAGGTATAGCATTGAGTCTTAGGGCAGAACTAGCTCTCTTAGAGTGGATCCCAGTAGACAGTCGTTTGTGTGCTGTCCGACTGAATGGAACAATGAGGATCCGAAAAGATAGGGACACTCGTCGTTGCCTCTTCGTCGTTTCTGCCTATTCTCCCACTGACTGCAGCTCAGATGATGTAAAAGATGAGTTTTACAGAAAGCTTTCGGACCTTCTCCGAAAAGCTAAGCGCTCGGATGTAGCAATAGTGGCCGGTGACTTTAATGCTCAAGTAGGTAAACTAAGCGATAGGAAAAGACACCTAGGTGGATCTTATGGTGTCGTGGCTCAAAGAACAGATAATGGCGACCGTCTGTTGCAGCTATGCTCAGATAACCGCCTGTTCCTTGCAAATACTAACTTTAAGCATAAGGAAAAACATCTTTTAACATGGCGACCACCTAATTCGTCCCAACGTTGGACCCAAATAGATCACATCGCTATCAGCCACCGATGGAGGGGCTCGACAGAAGATTGTCGCTCATTCTGGAGCACATGTCTAGATTCAGATCATGCTCTAGTGCGAGCGCGTATTTGCTTGCGTCTTACTGGACGTAGGAAAGACGCTGTAAGGAAACCTCTTAGGGGCCTACTTAATGATAGTCAAGCTAAGAGTATATTTCAGGAACAACTAAGAAAACAGTCAGGCAGCCATGTATGCGATGCCCACCCCGATGCAGCATGGAACGATATCCGAAAAGCTGTGGAAACAGCAGTGATATCTGCTAGTAAGTTAAACCAGAAGGTTAGGGAGCAACACTGGATCTCAGCAGCATCTATCGGCCATGGAATCTTCATCCTTAGTGGAGGCAGCGACACCAAATGTTCTGAAGGTGAACACGGGTGAAGACAAATTACAGAATTACTTGGTAAAATAGAAAAACAATATAGTAAGTCGTTAATTTGCAAAATATCATTCAATCATATCAAACCGGACTGTTGCTGTTGCAAACATCAATTCATTGTCTCACATTTCATTGTTCATGCGATTTCTTACAATTTCCATTGTGTTCTCGCTCTTCTTTTCTTGATCTTCTCCATCTTCTGCTGCCAGACATTACGTTCTTCTAACTCACGTTATATACTACTTATATCAATATAAGTAGCACGCACCACAATCGCACTGATAGATGCTCGGAAACTCATTCCACCTGGCTCTGAACATAATGAAGAGCGTAGTCAGCTTAAGCGCAAGCTGACAAAAAGTCTACGCAATGATCGTGAACAGTGGTGGGTAGCGAAAGCAAGAGAGATGGAAAAGGCAGCGGCAATAGGTAATAGCAGACAATTGTTCAGACTCGTTAAGGAAACCTGTATTAGGAACCCGACCGTTAGCGAAACAATCTCAGAGAAAGATGGACATATTATTCATTCTCAATCCAGGAGATTGGATCGATGGGCAGAACACTTTAGGGATCAGTTCAACTGGCCTTCAGCCACACTTCGGTTTCCCACGATCTCTAGTCAACCTGAATGGCAAGTTAATGTAGGTCCTCCGTCCCTTTACGAAGTTGAAAAAGCCATAGGAAATCTGAAACGAGGAAGAGCAGCAGGCCCCGACAGGCTTACTCATGAGATTTTTAAGGATGGTGGTCCAGTATTAGCAATGAGATTAACCGAGGTCTTAGGTAGAATTTGGGAACTGGACGTAATCCCATCTGACTGGTCTCAATCACTGATTGTGCCAGTCTATAAGAAAGGACAAAAGTCCTCCTGTGACAATCACAGAGGAATCAGTTTGACTAATATAGTGTCTAAAATATTAGCCTCAATAATACTTCGACGCCTAATCAAAGCTCGTGAAGAGCAGATTAGAGAAAACCAGGCCGGTTTTCGACCTGGACGTGGTTGTATAGATCAGATATTCACACTACGTCAGGTTCTAGAACACAGACACACATTCAGACGCCCCACAATGGTAGTATTTCTCGACCTTAAGGCGGCATTCGACTCTGTTGATCGTGAGGTTCTATGGCAGTGTTTGTCACTGAAAGGAGTACCAAAGAAGTACATTAACCTTATAAAGGCTCTCTACTCGAATACAACTGGTAGAGTGAGAGCTTATGGCGAACTGTCATCAGAATTGATTACCTCAAGTGGTGTTCGTCAGGGCTGTCCACTCTCCCCATTCTTGTTCAACTTTGTGGTCGACGTACTTTTAGAGATAACACTCTCATCATCTAAATTTCCAGGGGTTGAACTTCTACCAGGAGGTTCACTTGTTGACTTAGAATATGCAGATGACATAGTTTTATTTGGTGAAGACGCTAACAAAATGCAGAGTCTTCTGACCACTCTAAGCAACAATGCAAGCATGTTCGGGATGCGATTCTCTCCCTCGAAATGCAAAATGTTGCTTCAGGATTGGGTTGCATCGACACCCGAACTAGTGATAGGGAGTGAAGTAGTTGAGTGTGTCGACCGCTTCACTTATCTTGGAAGTCTCATCAGCCCTTGTGGTCTGGTGTGTGACGAAATCGCAGCACGGATACAGAAGGCTCGACTAGCTTTTGCCAACTTGCGTCATTTATGGCGTAGGCGAGATATCCGTCTATCAACCAAAGGACGTGTTTACTGCGCAGCAGTTCGTCCCGTCCTTCTTTATGGCAGTGAAACATGGCCGGTAAGAGTAGAGGATATTCGTAGGTTACTAGTATTCGATCATAGATGTCTTCGAAACATTGCTCGTATATCATGGGTCCACCGAGCAAGTAACACAGTTGTTAGGAAACGGGTACTAGGTAAGGATGGCAAATCAATTGATGAAGTAGTGAAACTTCATCAGTTGAGGTGGCTGGGACACGTGTTACGTATGTCAAACGACCGACTGCCTCGACGTGCTATGTTCAGTGGTATAGGAGTAGGTTGGAAGAAAGCTAGAGGCGGCCAAACCAAAACATGGCACAAGTCCATGAAGTCACTGACAAGTGAATTGAGTCGTGTTGGTAGGTGTAGACTAACTGGTTGGGGACCGCGAGATGATAGCAACCGATGGTTAGAGACCTTGAATGACATGGCTCAAAATCGTTTGGAATGGCGCAGGTGCATTCACTCTCTGTGTTCTCCCAGATTTTAATCTTCTGAATTCTTCATGTCCCTTTTTTCCTCTTTCCAAATTTATTTCACTGAATTATACTCCTTGAATAACATCTCCAAAGCCTAATGTTTCCGATTACTGCTTATACTTTTACTACCTGTACCACTACGGTATTTGAATCGACAATTGTATCTGTGTGCTAATGTGGTGTGGCAACTCGAACTGATGTACGTACGTACGAAGTTCTACGTTGTTACTGACTGACTGACTGACTGACCAGGATTCCACTGCTAGCCATCATCCATGTCTAC